GCTGGGACCTCACTGGTCTTGTTAGTGCAGATGGCTCTTAACCTCTGAGCAGTCTCTCTAGCCCCCTATATTCTTTATAGTTAATTCTTCTAAATAAAGAAAAAGATGGCCGAACCAGTTTTAGAAGATGAACTAAGGACTTAAATAGGAAATCCACAGAAATACCAATGGCCAATCAAGATGAAGAAAAAAAAAAAAATGAACCTTAAGTATTAATCAAGGAACTTGAAGTGATCAACTAAAACAAGATCACAATTTTCATAAATCTGGAGATATGCTGAAAAGCCTTTGAAAGGTGTTATACTAGCATTTATACAGCTGGTTTATCTTAGAAATGGATGAGGTGTAGAGGTATGTCCAAAGATGTAACTGTTGTTAAAACAAACAAAAAATGTTAAAACTCTACTCATAATAGGTAAAGGGTTGATATATAGATCACATAGATAAGATGCAGTACAACCAGGAAACACTGATATGAGAATATTATATGCACAAATAGACCCAGATATACATTCTTGGGATTGGATCTAGCTGCTGGATTTGGGGCATTTTACTTTTTTTGGGGGGGGGTGTATTCTGAGTCATTTGCAATGAGCCCATATTATTGCAACCATAAAATAAAATTGAGCTTTTTGAAGAAAATCATGACTGATATGGGAAACACTGGCCAAATGTAATGTTAAAAACAAAGCATTTTTAAACAAATTATTTAATATCCTTACATTTATGCATTTATTTTGTGTATGTGTAGGGGTATGCCTATATTTGGAGGTTATAGGACAATTTCCAGTCTCTCTTCCCACCACGTGATTTTCCAGGATCAAACTCAGGTCATAAGGCTTGGTGGCAAGCAACTTTACCTGGTAGCTTTGCTGGCTTGAAATTATACCTAGGCATAGTGGCTCATGCCTGTAATCTCAGCACTAAGGAGGCCGAGGCAGGAGGATCAGGAGGTCAAGACTAACTTAAACCTCCCTATCTCAAAACAAACAAAAAGCAAGTAAGAGTGAGCGTATAGAGCTGAGTTAGGATCTTGAAATGGAAAAGTTAGAAGAGACTCACTGCATCTTCTGAATTTCATCTTCGTCCACTTTCTGTTTCTTTTCTCTCTTCTCTTTGGTGTCCAGTTTCAGCTTTTTGGCTGCAGGAGTGAGTAATGACGAGTCTTCCCTCTCCGCTGTTGTTAAATCGGAGACATCCTGACTCTTGAGCTGGGAAGATGGACAGAAACTTTGACTACATATTTAGTACACTTTTCAGGTTTGGGCAAAGTCAGCAAATGCCCTGCTCTTTCCAGCTCAGGAAATCTGTTTATGCAGTAGCTGTCTGCTTCTAGGCACTGCCTATACCATCAGCATTAAGAGGCCGCCTATCTCCCAAAGGAAGATTATAGCCCAGCTGGAGAAGATCAATAATACACTTTTCCAACTGAGCTATGGTCATATAGAGGTCCTGTATTTGTTTACCAAGGTAAGGGAGAAATGCCAAAGAGCCAAATTACCACACCCTCACCCTCCGGATGCCAGCAGTCCTCCATCCACAGCATTTGCGCCTGGGGAACACCACTGCCTGCAGTGTTCTGACCCTTCCCGCTACTAGAAACAGTCTTTACATAGTCCTGGCTGTCCTGGAACTCACTTTGTAGACCAGGCTAGCCTCGAACTCACAGAGATCCGCCTGCCTCTGCTTCCCGAGTGCTGGGATTAAAGGCGTGCACCACCACTGCCCAGTTTGGACCCTCCCCCCCTTTTTTTTTTTGTCATTTAAGACTTTCAAAGTCTCATTTTGTATCCTAGGCTGGTGGTTCAACATTCCCTGGTCTTCAAATTGTGGCAATTGCCCTTCCTCAGGCTCCTTGCTATGATTATAGACTTGTACCACCATACTGAATTTAAACTAAAAACAGATGGTCAGAGGTTAAGAGCTCTTGCGGAGGATCTATGTTCTATGACCAACACTCACGTGACAGCTCACAGTCATTTGTGACTCCAGTTTCAGGGGATCTGATGCTGCCTTCTGACAGGGACCAGACACATACATGGCAAACATCCACACAATAAAAATATTTTAAAAGCCCAGACTTAAAATTATTATGCACATTCATGCACAGTATGTGTGGACTTGCAAATGTTGATCACAGGGCAACTTACAGAGTTGGCGCTCCTCTACCTTTATGTGGGCTCTGGGGATCACACTCCAGTTCCCAGGCATTCATGGCAAGCACCTTTACCTGCTGAGCCATTCTGCTTGCCCTACACTAAAATCTTTTTAAGGATGTTTATTATTTACATTTCTCCACATAAGCACTCATCAGTTTTACTCATGACAGGTGTAATCCAAACTCTGTCCCGACCAACTTACTATGGAATCTTAGTACATCAAAACTTATTAATGAGCTATAATGGTTCCTTTAAAAAGGGATTTATATTTAAACTCATTCAGAAATTCAGAGAGGGGGAGTGAAGGCATTAACTTTCCTTCTTTCCCCTCCTCCCCTCCTTTTTGAGGGAGTTGGGGTAGAAGCAGGTTTCATTTTGTAGCTCATAAAGTCCTGTAATTTATTCCTTCTACTTCAGCTGCTTGCATGAGACATTCAGCTTAAAATTTTCTTCTGGCAAGTTTTGCTGCTGACCTGTGACAGGAGGGTCACAAGCTCAAAGCCGCCTGTGTTAGGGAGATGCTCCTCATAAAGAGGACAGCAAAATCCCATCAAGTTTTGCTATGTTTTCCCCCCCTAAAAGTTATTACTTCAAAACGTCTTGAAGTGGCAGTTGCTCTTGGAAAGCCCCATCTCCATCTTATCTACGGTTCCCTCCATGATTTCTCAAAGCCAGTTCCAGCTCTAAAACTTCGAGATTCTATCTGCAGAAATGGAACCTAAAGAACACTTGAGGTTCAACTAGGCAACAGTGTTTAGCTTTTGAAGTGGCAGAGTCGATGGTTTTAATGAGGTTCCGAGACCCCTGGAATTGAGCAGCCAAGACACTGGTTCAATGTCCACTGAAGACAAGAGCAGACTGAACGCAGTGCTTGGCCCCTGGAACCGAAGCAGCACCTTCCCGTCCACGGCCTCTCCCCTGCCCCCCAAGGTTGCAGACTGAACAATGACTCGCGGTGAGTTCTAGTTCTTCTGGCTATGGAAGCCAGGAAGCAGACAGTAACGCGACCGGGTGCTCCTGCAGCCTTACCCACGAAGTTCCACCTACCTCGCTTTCCTCCGCCGCGGCTTCTTTCACGTCTGCGTCTCCATCTCCGTCGGTTTCCTCTGGGACTCCCTCAGTGTCGGCGGCCGCCGGGACCCCAGGAGTAGCCCTCACCTCCTCTGACTCCGCTGGCTCTCCGCCTTTGTCTGTGGGTGACTCCCCAGGGTTGTCCATCGCGGCAGAAGCGGGACAGAGGCGATGGCAGCGCCGCCAGGTGAAGGAGCGAGACGACTAGCCATACAGCAGAGCCGGGGCTTTGGTTTGTCGTCGCGCCGCGATGACGTCATCCCACTGCTCCTCGGAAGGGTCAGTTTCAGAAGCGCGTTGCTAGCTCGGGGATTCACTTAAACTTGAGTTTGTTTTAACAAGAAAGAAATTTAGAAGTGTGGATCTTCCGCTTTAGGGAAGAAGCGTTTTTGAAAGAGTGTACATTCGTCTGCCGAGAGACTTCTTTTTCTTCTCATTTCTGGAAATGCAATGACAATTAATCCTTCTTTAACTCGACCCCTTCAGAGCAAAGTCGGGGAACCGGACAAAACGCAGTCCCGCTGCTTGGTAGCGTCAAGGAATAGCGCTGCCTTGGACTGAACAACTTTCGGCAGGGACCCAACCTCGTAATTTTCGAAAGAACCGAGACCGCAGCCTTGTGTTCACCAGGGAATGGCTAGGGCTTCCTCTCGGTCCCGCAAGAATCTCTAACTCCAGCAGACTATTTCCAACGCTCTCATTCAACGCCTCAATTATTGGTAACCTGGCTTGAGTCAGTCGCCCACCAGTACCCAAAATCGGGACTGTTTTTCTAAATCTGATTTTAAGAATATGTTTGGCTAATCTCACGACAACTAAGAGAGAGAGGTCTCTTCTGGCCGTTTCACTGAAGCTGTTTAGGATGGAGTGCGAGGAAAAGTTGTTGTTTTTCCTTTTAAATTATTTCATAGGTATGGGTGTTTTGGCTGCATGTACGTCTGTGCACCACATGCGTTCATGGTACCCTGGGAGGCCAGAAGAGGGTTTCGATTCCTCTGGAACTGGAGTTAACAGACTGTGTTGGGAGGCGCCATGTGGGCGATGGGAATCAAATCCAAGTTCTCTGAAAGAGCAACCCGCGCTCTTAACCCTCCTCCACCATCTCCCCAGCCACTCCCGTCCCCCACCACCTTTTTTGTTTTTAAGACAGGTTCTCACTATGTAGCCTTGGCCGGCCTAGAACTTGCTATGCAGATCAGGCTGCCCTTAAACTCAGAGGTACACCTGCTTCTGCCTCCCGAATGATGGGATGGCGCGTGCCACCACGCCCAGCGATTTTACATCTCTTCGGTCTTCCCTCGAGGAGGCACCAGAGGGCGGGATTCCTCACGTCTGGTTCTAGGTCTCCGCGCCTTTTCCCTGTTTGATCTGAGTCTTGAATGGAACCGAAAACGTAACGTGGGCGCGTTCCCAAATCTCTCTTTGGTTCCTACCGTGCCTGAACAAATGACCGTATTTTCAGGCCCATGAGGTACCAAACCTTTGGGAAGGCGAGCACGTCAGGCGCTCCCCACAGGTGTGCGGCCGCGCGTCTTCTTCTCCCCGACCTGTGGAATGGGCCGGAGCGCTGGGCGTGGACCGGCTCTCCGCAAGGCTCCGCTCCGCGCGTCCCGGCTGCGCTCAGTCACCTGCGCGGCGGCGCCAGCCCCGCCCACTAGGTGGGCAAGGAGGCGGGGCGCGGGGGCGCGGTGACGCGTGACGCCGGATCCCGGAAGTGACGCGCCGCGGGGGGGGGAGGCTAAGGAGGCGGGGGGGGGTGTAGAGGGGGTGGCGTCCCCGGCCGGTTTGAGGGGTGCGTTGCCCGGAGACGGAAAGTTTGGGAGCCGCAGCAGGCTCTTGCGTGGCCCCGGGTCGGGGTCCGAGGAGTGGCGGTCCTGGGGATGGGGAAGGAGCAGGAGCTGCTGGAGGCGGCCCGCACCGGGCACCTCCCGGCCGTGGAGAAGCTGCTGTCCGGGAAGCGGCTCTCCTCCGGCTTCGGCGGCGGCGGCGGCGGCTCCGGCGGCGGCGGCGGCTCCGGGGGCGGCGGCCTCGGTTCCTCCAGCCACCCGCTTTCCAGCCTGCTGAGGTGAGTGCGCGCGCGGGGCGGCGCGGCGCGGCTCGCAGCCTGGACGGCGCGGGCTCCCTCGAGAGGTCGCGGCTCCTGGGGCGCGCGCGGCGCAGGCCAGGCTCTCGCGTCTGGCGTCGCCGCTGCGGAGAATGGGGGGAGTGCCCAGGTGGCAGCCCGCGCCTCATGGCACAGCCCGGCGTCCCCCTCGCCCGCCGTGGGGTGCCAGCTGTCGCTTCTCACAAAAGCCACTTCAGAGCAGACCGAATTCGCGGAATCCCTCTCACATCCTGCAGCAACTCCCACGCCGGGCAGAGCCTCGCGACTCCCCTGGAGCTCATTCTCCTCATTTCCTTCTCTTAGGAACTTGGAACGTGCCACCGGGCTGTGCGGGACCCGGCTTTTGTTTGTTTTTAAAATTGCTTCTGCATTGGTCGCGCACGAGGTGTTCAGTCTTTGAGCCTCTCTTGCGCTTGACGCTCAATTGGTCGTCAGTTTCCTTGTAGTCTAACCTCGCTGGGTTCGTCCAAGTGGCATATGCTCATTTCTCCCGGGGACTTACTCGATAAGGTTTGGGAAGACTTGTTTAGGAAACTGACGTGCGTTCAACTTTCTCAGATCTGTTAGACACTTGAATCCGGGGCTGCAAGGCTTGGGGGTGGTGATGGTGGTGGTCACTCTTTGTCGCTTACAAGGGGGATTGGAATGCTTTGTCAGAGTGCACAAAATGTGTTGGTTCAGCAGCGCTTTCGTAGCTGTTTTCTTTTCCTTCCTTGTTCTTTTGAGGTTTTTAAGAAGTGGAAGTTCATTTAGAAGTGGCTTCGTTAGCTTCCGTTCCCTATTAGTTTATGTACCTTCAGTTTGAGTCTGCTTGGAGAGCTTGCACCAAAGAAACCCAAGACTCTAATAAACAGGTATTCAGTACTGAGTGCTGATCCACATCTTCTCAGCAAGATTTTAAAAAGCACTACAGAAGAACCTTCCCCTTCCTTTGGGGAAGAAAAACCTCATTCTGTTGGCTGCTATTTCTCCAGTCCCTTGAACAGTACTGGCTCATAGTAGCTACTCAAGATTTGTTGAGTAGATTGAAGTACTGATTGGAGAATGATCATTGTGTGAGTGCATGATGGAGGCTAGAACTTGACATTGGGTGTCTTCCTCATTTGCTCACCATCGTCTTTCTTTGAGACTGTGTCCCACACCAAACCTGGAGTTTGCTGACTGTGCTAGACCGGCCGGCCAGCGAGTTCCCAGGGATTCCCCCTGCCTCTGCCTTCCCAGTACTAGGGTTACAGGCGCATACAGCCATGTTGGCTCTTTTCCCCCCTTCCTTTAAACATGGGTGCTAGGGATCAAATCCAGGGGCTCCTGTTTGCTGAACAAGCTCTTTACAGACTGCGCCGTCTCCTTAGGGGATCATCCATCTCTAAATAAAGTGTTGGTGGTCCACACTGTTAGCGGTTGGTACTTCAGAGTATAGATATCACTTTGGGGTAGGTTGGGAGGCAGAGCCTCAGGGGAAGGTGTGCTTAGGCTGACTTTGACAGGTCATATATAGTGAGAATGTTCCAGGTAAGCACACCCTGCTCAGAGGCACAGAAAGGAGACTTACTTGGTGTCTGTGGGCTGTTCAGGGAACTTCCTGCTTGGGATCTTGAGTAGTTGGGCCCCTTAAAGGTAAATAAGAATGGATTGGTACACTGTTGCCTCTCATAGTGACAGTCTTCCTCAACTTACTTCTCAGTCCCTATGTTAGTGCCTGGAGACAGAGTCACAGATTGTCCTAGTTAGGGTTACTGTTGCTGTGATGAACACCATGACCAAAAGCAACTTGGGGAGGAAAGAGTTTATTTAACGGCTTACACTTCCACATCGTAGTCCATCATTGAAGGAAGTCAGCATAGGAAATCACACAGGTCAAGAACCTGGAGGCAGGGGCTGACGTGGAGCCATGGCGGAGTGCTGCTTACTGGCTCGATCCTCATGGCTTGCTCAGCCTGCTTTCTTACAGAACCCAGGACCACCAGCCCAGGATGGCACCACCCACAGTGGGCTGGGCCTTCCTTCCCTCATCAGTCACTAAGAATATGCCTCACAGCTGGGCAGTAGTGGTGCACACCTTTAATCCCAGCACTCTGGAGCCAGAGCCAGGCAGATCTCTGTGAGTTTGACGCTAGCGAGATCCAAAACTACACAGAGAAACCCTGTCTCGAAAAAAAAAAAAAAAAAAAAAAAAAAAAAGAATATGCCCCACAGTCAGCTTTTATTAGGGACATTTTCTCAATCGAGGTTCCCTCCTTTCAGATGACTCTAGCTTGTGTCAAGTTGGCAGAAAACCAGCCAGTACACAGGTGCTCAGCAAATAAACATTGAATGCATTTATTCCTTTCTTCCTCCCTCCCTCCCTCCCTTCCTTCTTTCCTTCCTCCTTTCCTCCATTCCATTCTTCTTCTTCTCCTCCTGCCTCCTCCTCCCCTTCCTCCTCCTCCTTCTCCTTTTTCTTCTTCTTTTTTTTAACAGTGCCTCACTATGTGGCCTTGGCTAGCCTGGAAATTGTTATGTAGGCCAGGCTGGCCTTTAACTAGCAGATACCTGCCTGCCTCTGCCTCCCAAGTACTGGGATTAAAAATGTGCACCAACAGACCTGTATTTTAATTCCATCTGCACTGTTTTGGCATCCTGCAGTTTTGATATCTGAGAGGTACGGGAAAACTACACGAGTTTGGAAGTCACTCTAATGAACTGATGATGTAGGACTTGGAGATTTGCCAGGAATGCCTTAACCCCCAGACTATTCTGCTGGAAGAGTATAGACTCTCATACATCTTCTGCCCTCAAATACAGGTCAAGTTCTTCTTGGTGTTCCTTCAGGGGCAGATGAAACGTTGCTGAGATCTAGCTGCCTTGTGGTTAAGCATGACAGTGGTTTTACTTTGGTTTTCCTGACGGTGTTTCCAGTTTCTGCCATAGTACCATGAGTGGTGTCTCCTTTTCCTGGAGTCACAAAACTGCCGGACTCCTCATTGGCTCCCGTGTCTAGTAGAGGCTGCAGATGTCTATAAGCTTCCTATTCTCCCACTCTTGTGACTCTTAGAGGCGGGGAGGACATTTAGACCCTTGTTACATCGGGTGTGTCATTAATTAGGGATGACTGGTTAACCTAAGAAAGAGGTTGAGGCCATGCATTTGAATAACCACTAGGTCAGCATGTCCCCTCTGCAGGTTTGGAGATGGTGAGATAGGGATGAGTCCCTTACGTATCCAGCCTTTTTCTTGCCAGGAACCCTGAGTTATTATTGGAAGCTGTGGACCCTAGTTTGGCATCTTGACTTGTGTCCACAGACATATCCCAGCTCATTAGTACTGCACACTGTAGCCCTACCTTTCTCTCCCAGTTTGAGGAGCTTATGGCTGCAGTGGATATAGTGTTGCAAATCACACTCCGTGTTTTTTCCTCATGTGTTTATGACCCCACCACCACTGTTCATGCCACAGAGGTGTTTTTTTTAATTCTTCTTCTTTTTTCTTTTTGGTTTTTCAAGACAGGGTTTCTCTGTGTAGTTTTGGTGCCTGTTCTGGATCTCACTCTGTAGACCAGGCTGGTCTCAAACTCACAGAGATTTTCCTGGCTCTGCCTCCTGAGTGCTGGGATTAAAGGTGTGCGCCACCACTGCCCAGCTCCACAGAGGTTTTGTATGTGTTCTTTGTGTATGTGTGTGTACATGAGGCTGCATGTATACATATGTGAAAGCCAGGGGTCATTATTTTAGGTGCTTGTCTCTCCCCTTTTTTTGTCGGGGGTGGGTTAGGGTGGGAAGACTGTCTTTCAGGATTCTTCTTGTTTCCTTCTCCACAGCCCTGGATTTACAAGCAGACACCTTTACTCCTGGCATTTTTATATGGGTCCTAGGGAATTGAACTTGAGGCCTCATGCCTGCAGGGCAAGCGCTTTACCAGCTGAGCTGTCCCTCCAGCCCCTTGTGTGTATTCTCAAGTTGGGAAACGCCCCTCCTCTCCTTGCATCCTTGTTTCTTATAGAGCATCTTCTGCTTGGGTCTTAACCACGCACAGCTCGTGAGGGCCTCATACACACAGGTCTTGGGGTTGGGGGCACATCCTGTAGTATATAGACACAGGTCTTGGGGTTTGGGGGCACATCCTGTAATATATAGACACAGGTCTTGGGGTTTGGGGGCACATCCTGTAATATATAGACAC